ATACGGACTTACAGAAATAAATATTATTCTCAACTCTGGGTTGGGTTTTGCCTGGTGTTTGTGGCAGTGTTATGGGGTTTGTGTGTGTATGTCTGTATGTGTATATGTGCTTACATTTGTGTGTGTGGATGTGTGTGTGTTTGTGTATGTGTGTGTGTGTGTTTGTGTATGTGCATGTGAATGTATATGTATATGTATATGTATATGTATATGTATATGTGATTATATATGTGTATGTGAATGTCTATGTGAATGTGTATGTGAACGTGTATGTGATTGTATATGTGTGTGTATCATACAGGATCCCGTGTAGCCCTTCCTTCTGCCACGGAAAAGGAAAATAGAAAATAGAGAGTCAATCATGTCCCAACCACCGCGCTCCGAATAAGGTATTCCTTGGAACAATTCGGCAGTCATAAACTAACAGACTGGTTCCTGCCTTGTCCATTAAGCCAAGAGAGTATTCAAACATTTCTTGTCTTCCGGAACAAAAAAAAGAAAGAAAGAAAGATAAAAAAAAAGGCAGACGAGTGAAAACAATCCTGGGAGAACTGAAAGATTGGAGGGCAAATGTTTACCTAATATTTTCTCATAGACTTTACTGATTCAAAATGATTTATGTCGATGTAAATTCATAAGTATTGAAATTACTGGAGAGCTCTTTGGTATTATCATATTCCACTACATTTCGATTTTTTTAAATCATGGTTGACAAGGGATTAATGCCATATATATTTTTTTTTTCATTTACCGTAATGAAGGTCCATTCCAGTTTTTTTCTTCTATTAATATTATATCACATAAAAAATGATGCTAACTATATATATAAAAGACATGAAAATCAGTCGACTGATCAACAACAGGAAATTTTGAATATGCCAGTATACCTTTTTTGTCCATCAATTACACACAACGTTGTGTTTGTTTAATTTGGGCATTTTGTGGGTTTTTGTGTGTACGTGTGCATGTGTGTGTCAGTGTGAATTCTTCCATTTTTTTATTTCCTTTCTCTTTCTCTCCCTTTTTATATATCTATCTATTTATCTATTTATCTATTCATCTCTCTCTCTCTCTTTCACTCTCTCTCACTCTCTCTCTCTCTCTCTCTCTCTCTCTCTCTCTCTCTCTCTCTCTCTCTCTCTCTCTCTCTCTCTCTCTCTCTCTCTCTCTCTCTCTCTCTCTCTCTTCCCTCTCCCCCTCCCTCTCTCTCCCTGTCTCTCTATCCTCTCTCTCTCTCTCCCTCTCTCTCTCTCTCTCTCTCTCTCTCTCTCTCTCTCTCTCTCTCTCTCTCTCTCTCTCTCTCTCTCTCTCTCTCTATCCCTCCCCCCTCTCTCTCTCTCTCTATCTATCTATCTATCTATCTATCTATCTATCTATCTATCTATCTATCTATCTATCTATCTATCTATCTATCTGTCTATCTATCTATCTCCTGCTGCTGCTGCTCCTCCTCCTCCTCTTCCTCCTTCCTTTCCCTCTCCGCCACAAATACACCAGTCCTTCTGCTTTAAAGCGTTATCCGAAAACGGAACCTACTTCTCCATTACTATCCAAAATTTTCCTCCTTTGAACTAAGTAGCATCACTCGGTAATGTTGCATGCGCTCACGAAGAGTAATTCATTGCAGGAATCGGAACCTACGGCCTATACGCTTAACTCTTTGAGGTGTTTATTTTATTTCCGTGTATTCATCTATATAAGTTTTTTGTCTGTGTTAGATCTTTCATTTCTTATCAGTTAACTTTCTTCATATATTTAACATTATGTATTAATATATCTTCATATCTCGAGATCGTGATACATATATTACAACTGAAAATTCTATTGGTTAATAATATAACGGCATATAACCTTCCACGTATATATCAGGTTTGAATTCTCTTATCAAAAATATCCCGAAGAGGCTTTTCCAAAAATCCCGCGACTGATGAGTGTAAGTGACACTTTCCCAAAACAATTAGTACGTAATTAAGGCAATCTAAGCTACAATTATCTTGGTACATCTCCTGGAGCCATAAAGATAATCTGTTTATTCGCAGAAGACATACGAGAAAGGGGGGGGATGAGTAAATAAACAGAAAGAAAATGAAAAATAAAAACGTAGCTTGAGAGGGAGCCAGACGGTGTGAAAGTGAAGGAGGAAATCAGTTTTGATGCGAACGTCAGCACAGCTCTTGCCTCGTCGCCTTTTCCCTCCCCTTCCCTCCCCTACCCTCCCCTTCCCTCCCCTTCCCTCCCCTTCCGTCTCCATCCATTCTCTTGCCTTCCCTCCCCTTCCCTCCCCTACCCTCCCCTCCCCTTCCCTCCCCTTCCGTCTCCATCCATTCTCTTGCCTTCCCTCCCCTCCCATTCCCTCCCCTTCCCTCCCCTTCCCTCCCCTACCCTCCCCTTCCCTCCCCTACCCTCCCCTTCCCTCCCCTACCCTCCCCTTCCCTCCCCTTCCCTCCCCCACTTCCTACGGGAGACAAATCGCTGTGTAGGCGGCGCTAGGTGACGGGGCAGGGGTGGGCGAGGAGGAGAAGGGAGGAGAAGCAAGAATAAAAAAAAGACAGAAAAGGGGAAAAAAAACCTCATAAGAATGAAGGATGGGCAGGCTTTCCCAGAACGAAAGATTGCGAGTATGGACGCTAAGGAACAATGTCTTGCGAATGCCGTCCGCTCGACACCGGTCACATGCTGCCATTGTTTCTCCTCTCTTCATACCAGCTGTTCTACCGCTTTCTTCGCGTGGAATGTTGGCTGGTATGTGGAGATTTATCATGGGATTCTTTTCGCGATGTGTTGGTGTAGTTGATAGAAACGCAAGGGGGAAATGCGCCATGGAATTTTGTTACATTTCTTGTATGGAGGGAAAAAAAAAAGTAATTGATATTGATTCAGGGGTATAATGATGTTGGTATCATTTTATTGCATGTTTTTTTTTTAACCTCTTTTCTTTTGATTTTTTTTTTTTTTTAATCAATATCACATCAACATTATATACTAGTAGCTAAATCGCATTAGTCATTCGAGTCAGAAATAAATTAATGTGATTTCCTTAACATGAATAAACCCACTGTTTAGGGTTGCAGCAACGTGCATTTCCTCGTCTGCATTTAGTGCGAGAGTCCTGTCACGACCATTAAACTAGAAGCTTAGACCTTTCCTGCAACATCCCACCGTAACAATTTCTTTCCAAAACACTGTTAACGCATTAACAGATGAGCCAGATCCGAGTGACTGACGTCATAGGATACGACTTTACCACAGTCCATCCCCTTTCATCTCTGTGACGTGATACTCTCTGTGAAGGATGTACATCATTTATACATGTTTAGAACCAGAGTATTGAACGTGATATACCAGTTTCGGATACCATAACTTTAACTCAAATTGCACTAGGACTCTTCTCCCTTTTCGGTACAGTTGGCTATGAATATGATTGATCGGTTTCTATGAATAAACAGTTGCACTGGTTTCATATATCATATTCGTCCAGAATAGATTATACAAACGAGTGTCTATTTGCATGGAATTTGAGAATGAACTTTAATGTGCATCGCAAACATTTTGATAACATAAAGAATGTGAATGATATTAATTACTAATAATCTTAATCAATTTTGAGCATGTCAGATATTTAGTATGTTGTTTTACATTTTTAGGACTATAATTGTAACATACATTATGCTGCATGTTGTAACACAGTACATTGTACACAGTACAACCAATGCACTCCATGGTTTTATGTGGTTGGACTTGAGTCGATATATGTATGCTGTTTACTGTTTACCACACCTTTTCAGTCCAGATGATGTAAGAAAAGATACGGCTATGAGAGCCTAGAATACTGTTTACATAAGATTACTATTTCTGGCAACGGGAATCTTTCTGAAATCATGATAAAAATACAGCACCTCACAGTACTGCCGTTGATCCCACCGCTGCCACCATATTGTTTTGTCCTCATACTCAGTTATTTTCATGTGTATCATTATAATTCTGGAGAAATCACTCAAATGCTTTCTCATTATACAATCCCTTATTAAAAGGATGCACTGGTAATGAAACGTAAGCATCCTTATTTTAGGGTGAACAGACCGATTTAGTAGATCACACAATCAACCATAGTGCATGATACTACTCAACTAAGTTTCTCAGATTTTTTGTTATTTTCTGCTTTCTTTATGAATTATTTTACTTAAGTATATATTTTAGAATGATTTGGAGAGAGAAATGCTAAATAGTGGAGATAACTATATATAATAGAGAGATAAAGAGGGGTGAAACAAGCAAAAAGAGAATAGAAAGAAAAGAGTCAGAGAAAGGACACAGTAATAATACAAAGAACAGAGAATGAAAAGGAATAAGAGAAAAGGAGAAGAGGAAATATCATGAACAGAAGCAGAGGGAGAGACGTCAAGTAGATAAAGTAATTTTTTTGAAATTGGACACTAATTTGATAAAATGGACAATTGGTGTGCTGTACTGGACGGAAAGGCTTAAGGAATAAAAACCCACTAAGTCCTCACCACTATCAGCTCACACTGCATCAGGAAAATTAATTATTACATACTGTCCTGACCTCTGATATATATATATATATAAATTCCGACTGCGTTTTCCCACATTTACGGAAAGTACGAATTTTGATTTACATTACTGTGAGTGAATGATAATTCTCACTGCAAATAAACACGTTTTCCTTCTTTTTCGTGTTCATGTGAAATCATATTTATCATTTACACATTCAGTATTACGTCCACTTATATAAACTGTCCTGAAGATATAACTTTTTTACAAATAAATAGTGAAAGCTTCATAAACATTAACAATGAACAGAAATATTTGATCTTACAATCTGAATTTAAGAAGAAAACTTACTGAACTTTTGAACAGATCGTAAAATAAAGAATATAGATATATAATGAACTTTTGAACAGACTTTACAACGTGGAAAACAAGGATGCGAATATTTCATCAAAGTGAAATTACTGTTGGAAAGGGTAAAGGACCGGAGAGCGGAAATACACCAAATTCTTCTGTTGCTATTTATAGACAACGAAACTAATCAGAGCGCGCTGGCGAAACACCTGCCCTTGACAGCTCCCGTGTGGGTCAGCGGGGCAATTCTATGTGGTAATCCTAGAGGGGGGCATGATTACGACATACACACACACATACATACACGAGGCAACACGCACACGAAACGAGATGAAAATAATCACAGGCAAACTCGTAACAACACAAAAAAAAACACACGCACTCGAAACGAAACACACACACACACACACACACGGAATAACACAAACACACACACATACATAGAACGACACACACATACACAAACACACACACACACACACACACACACACACACACACACACACACACACACACACACACACACACACACACACACACACACACATACACACACACGGAATAACAGAAACACACACACGGAATAACACAAACACACACACATGCACAAAACGACACACACATACACACACACACACACGGAGTAACATAAACACATACACTCACGCACGTAATAACACAAAGAAAACTATACACATATACACATAAACACGCACACAAAGCTACACATAAACACTCACGCGAAACGACACCCATACGCCAATGCATACATACATACATACACGCATACATACATACATACGTACATACATACACGCATACATACATACATACATACATACACGCATACATACATACATACGTATATACATACAGTAATATCTCTTGTGCCTCTAGTCGAGGGAACTAGAGAAAAAAGAGAGAGAAGGAGAGAAATGAAACCTTTATATCGATAATAAAAATCGTCGACAGAAACAGAGGGTCAGCTCTTACAGGGGAAATTGAAGGCTAACACTCTGAAATGGACAACTAATATACTGCAATCAACAAAAAAGGTTTAAGGAGTTAAAGCACACTGTTCCATCTCTACTATCTGCTCAAATCGCGCACCAGAAAAGTAAACGTACATATGTAGATATAAATATACACAAATACAAAAACAAACACAGACACACAAACAAACACACTCACACACAAACATAGACACATAAACGTACACACTAACACACACAAACACAGACACACTCACACCCATACACACACACACACACACACACACACACATACACACACACGTCCTGTCAACCGCTGATATTACTGCCTCTGTCATATAGCTGTCATATGCATTTACTTCGTCTCTTCTCCTCAAAGGTGTTAGCCACGTCAATCAGATGATGTGCTCTGGAGATGGAGGAGAACTAATAAAGGAGGAATAAGGAAAGGAAAGGGAATGAGGAAAGGAAAAGTGATGGGAAGAACGATAAGTGAGGAAGAGGAAAGGAGAATGAGAGGACGAGCAATAAAGGATGATGAATAAGCATATGGGAAACTGAGGAAAAGAAAGGGGGAAAATGAGAGAAACGGGGAATAATCTGAAGAAGGGAAATGACAGGGAAACCGATAAAACAGGAATGAGCAGAAGGGGAAAAAATCGAGAGGAAGAACGAGAAACAACAATAAAAAAAATGAATAAGCAGAGGAGAGAAATAAATCAATGACTAGACAGAAAAATCAGAGGGAGATCAGTAAAGGAGGGAATAGGCAGAGGATGGATGATAATGGAAGAGGGGGATCGTGATAAGATGTGATAGGATAGTGCAAAGGACTTGATTGAATGAACTGCCTCGCACATGACGCTAATTATGTACTCTTCGACTGAATTCAGTTGCACTTTGGTGTGTGCGTGTATATGTATGTGCGTGTTTTATGTATATAGATAGATTTATACATGTAAATATATAGGTATGTATGTATTCAGTGTATATTTGTATAAATATATATACATATATGTGTGTGTGTGTGTGTGTGTGTGTGTGTGTGTGTGTGTGTGTGTGTGTGTGTGTGTGTGTGTGTGTGGGTGTGGGTGTGTGTGTGTGTGTATGTATATATATATATATATATATATATATATATATATATATATATATATATATATATATATATATATATATGCATATATATATATATATGCATATATTGTATATATACATATATAAATATATACATATAAGTATATAAATGTATATATATACGTATACATACATGTTTACATATATATATATATATATATATATATATATATATATATATATATATATATATATATATATATATGAATGAGGAAAACACTCTACCGTGTTGATACTATGGTAGAAAAACCCACAATGTAAAAACTAGAGGATGGAATCCAGGTGGATTCCGAAACTGTAGTCTCACTTTCATTTTCAATAATTCTAGTTTTTACATTGTGGGTTTTTCTACCATATATATATATATATATATATATATATATATATATATATATATATATATATATATATATATATATATATATATATATATACATATATATATATATACATATATATATATATATATATATATATATATATATATATATATATATATATATATATATATATATATATACATATATATATATATACATATATATATATATATATATATATATATATATATATATATATATATATATATATATATATATATACATATATATACATATATATATATATATATATATATATATATATATATATATATATATATATATATATATATATATATATATATATATATGTACATACACGTATGTTTTCATGTATGTATACAATATATAGATGCATATATATATATGTATGCATGCATACATACATATATATATATATATGTATACATACATGTATACATATGTATATGTGTATATACATACATACATATATATCACATATATGTGTCCATATATATATATATATATACATATATATATATATATATATATATATATATATATATATATATATATATATATATATATATATATTTATATATATATATATATATATATATATATATATATATATATATATATATATATATATATATATGTATATATATATATATATATATATATATATATATATATATATATATATATATATATATATATGTATGTATATATATATATATATATATATATATATATATATATATATATAAATATATATATATATATATATATATATATATATATATATACATATATGTGTCCATATATATATATATATACATATATTTCTGTGTGTGTTTGAGAGCTATGAATGTGCATATGTCTGTATGTACAGGTATGTACGCACGTATGCACATCCAGCCGCTTATCCCGCCGCCTTGCACCCCCCCCCCCCTTCCCTCATCTTCCTTCCTTCGCCCGGCCGCGTCAGCCTGTCATCCTCGGGGTCGTAATACAAGCAGAGAAAAATTACCTCCGATCCTTTTTCTTCCTCTTAGAAATTTACTCCTTACTTAAACGTGCCTTCAGTTTCCATGCATTTCATTAACAGTTTCTTCGCTGATTTTATTCGGAATTTAAGTGGCAAGACGTAATTCGATATCGCCGCGGGGAAAAATGTTCTGGAAATTTCATGCGCGGCAACCCCCTTCCGCATTTGCGATCAAAGAGACGCCTTTTCGAGTTAATAACTTCTTTTCTGAAGCGGGTTCTGCGCTGTTCTCGTCTGTCTTTTCTTTCGTCTTTCTTGTGTTTTTTTACTAGGCTGGGGCGTTCTACACTCGGTGCTTGCAATATATGTCTTCCACTGACAGATATTCTGAAATTTCTTCTTTTTTTCCTCATTTACTGTGTTCTCTGTATCTCCGCATTCATCCTTTTCATTGTATTGTCTATACATCCATTACATATCTATGTTCACTATTTTCACTGC